AAAAAAAAAAAAGGAATGAAAATGCATCTGACGTAATTCATATCAATGTCCATTTTTATGGTTATTTTCTTCTTCACCTTCTTCTTCATCTAATTTTAACATTTCTTTAAGTGTATTAGATTCCACAGCTGAGATTAAACCTTCAAAATCACAACAATATTCTTCACCATTAAATATATATGGTAAAATCATCTTCTGATTTGATAATGATAATGTACGTTGTAAAAATTCTTTGTCATTGGTATTTTTTGGATCACTTATATCAATTTCGATATAACCGATTTTATTTGTATCAAGAATATGTTTTAATTTTCGTTGATTACCAATTGTTACTTGATTACTAGTTATATTTGTTATATAGACTTTCAAAGTCATATTTAGTATTTTCTAAAAATAAAATAAGTAACAGTTGGTTAATATTTGTATCAAAGTCCATAGAAATTATGGTGTCATTCTATTCATAGATATAAGAATAATTATTTGTAGTTGAAAAAAACAAACGTGTTTAGTAGGTTAGAAAAAAAATCTGTTCGATTAAATTCTTGCGAAAATAGATTTATTTTCTTTGCTCGATTTATGAAGTCATGTTTTAAAGAGAAAAAAATCGATCATTTCGATTTAATTTATTAAAAAGAAAGTATATAAATTGACGACATTTTGTATTTCTGATAAAGCAATGCAAGGAGAGAGAAAAAAACTGACTTGATGATTTACTTATACTTGTCCCTCGAGATACTTGACAAGTGGAGAATATTTTTGAATAGTGTTTTTCAGCCGCACGAAAGAGAGAGAAAAAAAAACGACCGTGTGACCTTCAGTCAACCGTTATGATATACATAACAAGAGAATAAATTTTATGTACGGTAAATATATTACCCTAGATTTATTTTTTTTTCTTGAACTAAAAACGAGATTTTATGTTATTTTGAAAATGAATTGTTATTAGTTCAATAGGAAAATATTTCTTTAAAATGGATATATTGTATGAGTACAATATCGCCAATAGTGTCACTGGTGTTTTAAAAGTACCGAAACAAAAGAACATGATTGGATGTATGAAAAGAACCGATCATATTCCATATATATAATAATAGCGACACTTATAGAACGATGTAAGAAAAAAAAAGAGAACTAATCTAAAATACTTTTTTTATTTTCTATAGAATTCGTTCTTTTTTTTT